TTTTTTTTTTTTTGTTGGAGAAAGGGTATAAGTTAGTTAAGTTGCATTTTGGGCGCTTGAAAAAAAAAATTATAATAAATGGGGACTCACAAGACGGACAGAAAGAATTCTACTCCGCTTACTCGTGGAATTTTTCACGAGTAATGAGTATTGGGAAACCACTCTAGGAAACTTGGATGGCCTCCAATGGTTAAACCTAGAGAATGTTGTCCTTACGCTCGGTTTTATTAGGAAAAAGCAAACCCCCTTAAAAAAATAGAAATAATAATAAAAAAAAAAAGAGAAAAAGTTGAGTACTTGAAGTGCAATCCAGTTGAGCATATATGAATGATGCATGGAGTTTTGATGGGAATGATTGATGTTGTGCTGATTTTGGATAGGTGGTGGGATATTCAAGTAGTTTATATGCTCGAGGATGTGATTGTTTATTTGAGCCATTCTGTCCTTATAATTTTCCTTCCATGATGCCTACACTGCAACCCGAAAGTCCTTTTGATTTACAATTCATTATTTTGATTGTTTTAAAGTATGAATAGACAATGAGCAAGCTTATGTTGATGCATGATGATCGACCAATTTGAGCGTCCCATTCCATAGTCATGAAAGAAATCGAGTGAGGCATTATATATATTATATTCCGTGCTCGAGAGTTGTATTTTCAAAATGTTGCATTCGAGTGTAGTTGAGGTATGCATGATTGGTCATTGGAATTCTCCTCGGCTAAGTTGATAAATTTGAGACTTGTCTTGTCTGAAGCTGTTATCCATGCTCGTTTGCTTGTTTTCGTGTCTTCTTTTTTCTTTTCGTTCGGGACGAACAGAGGTCTTAGTGTGGGGGAGTTGTTTGTCCCATTTTTTCCTTGTCTTTTTCGCCCATTTTATGTTTTTCGTGATCGTTTTGGTCCGTTTTATTTCTTTTCGCGTGTTTTCATTTATTTAGAGTCTTTTTGTGTTCTTCGATTATTTTCTTCATTTCTCCGTTTTTGTCGTCTTGAGTGATGTGCAGGTTGAGTTGCTTGACTGTCTGTTATGGGGAATGAAGTTATCAAATTTGTAGACGGGTTCGTGGCCATTATACTAGAGAAAATGGGACCAAACTCCGTGTCCAAATGAGCGAGACCGAGCTCGAGACATGAACAGTACAATTAAGCTCTCGACATCTTCATGGCGCACAACACGCAGCCACACCCTCCCGACAAACTCAGCCCTCACGCCCGCCTCGGCTACCTGCTCCAGCACCACCTCACCACGCCGCTGAAGCCGCCGCCATCATCACGGAGCACCTCCACCTTCATGAACATCAAAACTCCTCGCCATTGCAGACTCCCTCGCTGCTGCAAACCTTCACCGCGCCAAGAGCAATCCCACGCCGGCAATCCACTCTAGTTGTATTCCTCTCATGCCACGTCGCGCAACCATGCCACACCATGAAGAGAAGAACCGCCGCGCCGCTGAGGTCTGCCGCGCCGTGAAGCTGATGACCAGAAACTGCTCCCATCGCGTCGTGCTACAGCCTCGCGCCGCGGGAAGACCCTTTGCCACGCCTTGAAGCCCCCGCCACGCCGCGGCGCCTACCTACTGTAAATCTTCTCGCCGTGACCAAATTTCACGGCCGCGGCCGCGAGCTTACCTTCACCGCGGCCGCGGCGAGCAAACAGACGCAGCAACCCCAGAACTTCAGAGCCGAAATCTCGCGGCCATGGGACTTCTCGCGGCCGCGGAGCTTCCCATCGCCGCGGCCCGCGAGCCCCTCTGCAGCCGCGACTTACACTGTACAGTTTTTAAAAAGAGAAATCTTATGCACTCGTTTTTATGTTGTTCGATGCTTAGGTTTGAAGAGGGGATCGTTTTTCTTTCACTCGTTCTTTTCTTTCTTCCTACTTTTGATCGTGGAACTCAGATTTAAACCCATATTTGGCTATTGCTTTCGGGATTAATCTTGTTTATCGAATTCAACATTGAGATTTTATCAATTGTAAGATTTCTCTTTCATTTAATTGATGATATGGATCTTTCGATTGAGATGATGATTATTGTTGATTCAATTATGAGTAGCTAAATTAATTGCTAGGGAATAGGGGATAGATGCTTTGAATTCGTGTGTGATTGTCGGGCTCAAGATTGTTCAATTTATGCGATTCATGCTTAATTAGGGTTTTCGATTTGTGCTTGAATGTTGAGAATTATTGAAGGGTGACACTTCGATTTGCAGTTATTTAATTGAATTTGATTCGTTCTTGCGTGATTTTGTTAATCCGATATCGACTAGTTGATTAACCACCTTCTAGGATTATTTAATCGACTCTTAGAACCGAAAGGGGAGGATTCGGTCGAAATAGATTCGCATGAACTAGGCTTGTTCGTAATTGTATTGCCTAGGAGTTAATTGACTCGTTAATTTGCCGTTCTAGTTTATTCTCTAGCTACGAAAAGTTATTGAGAATGAATGTTTGATCAGGTGGATTATTCGAATTTCTTGGCTGAACAATTACTTGCCCGTTAGTTGTATCTCGAACCAAGGCGGATATCCCCGACTCCCTAGCTTCGTTAAATCTTATTTGTTCTACGTGCCCGTTTGCTATTTACTTGCTTTATTTAATTTATTTGCAGTCGTTGATAATCAAAACCAATCATCTGAATTAGGATGTTTAGGAATTTTATTTGTTTTATTTTTCCTTTTTGTGATTGAATAAACGCATTAAATATTCCGGCTAACCTTCCTTGTGAGACGACCCGGCGTTCGAATCTTTCGATTTGACTCCGATAAAATATATTTACAACAGTAATTAATGTTTTTGGGTGGAAAATGCTCATAAAATGTTCGGGTATGAAAAAATCATATGTTATTAAAACCTAATTGTAAACAACATTATTAGTTTGATTATTGGGCACACTACAATAAAATGATAAAATTCCAATGGAAATCTATTCCAAAGACAATTCCAACAGATATTTCAATACTATTATTTTTGTTGGAAATTTTCAATGGATTCCAACGAAAATTCCAACAAAAATATTCCGTTGGAATGAATTTTCTATTGGAATTTCCGTTGGATTTTGACGATTCCAACGGTTGATTTTTCAACGGGGTGGAAATAAAAATTCCAACAGAATTTGCATAATCCAATGGAAATTCCTACGGTAAAGAAACCATTAGAAATTTAGCAGTTGAAATCATCAAATTTCTAAGAGTGACACTCACTCTTGTTTATCGTCATGAGAATATAAATGAATTTTTATCTGAAAAACTTAATCTTTGAAATGTAATGATCATGTGTTATTTTTTAATTTCGTGATCGATGGACTCTTTTATTAATTAGTTGGTTTGAATAAATATATAGCAAATTTTGTTGCCAGTCGTTATTAGATTTTTAAATTAATATTTGTAAATGCATAAATAAAAAGAGACCTAAACTATGAAAAAAATTTCAGCTTTTGAAATCAAATAAATGACAAACACTATCTTTTAAAATAAATAATGATAATGATTATAACATTGTATTATCAAAACCGATAAGATATATAAAATTTGTTTTCCTTTTCAAATCGATAATGAAGAAAAAAGTATAATCGGTGAAAAGATGATATATACAAATCATGATTTTAGAAATCTGATATATACAAATCTTAGCATGCAGTTTCAAATAATTTAATAATATAATAATAGGCTGCATGAATTATGATTCAAATTCAAGCAAAGAAAATTTTGAACAGATTTCTAAAATCATGATATATACAAATCATGATTTTCCTTGGAGATTTATTCGGATTTCCAAATTGTTTGGAAATCACGATTTTTAAAAACATGATTTATTCGGATTTATATTCGGGTTTCCAAATTGTTTGGAAAAATATGAGATTTATTGAGATTTTGATTCCTTACTGGTTACCAATATAAAAGTATTTAATGTTAATAATAAAAGAAAAAAGGAAAAAGTTGATTTACTATTTTTAAGAAATAATTAATGAAAGTGGCGGGAAATAGTTTCTAAATTTGATTTATGTTAATCTTTATTATATAGGATTAACATATATGTTAACATATAAGTAACATATATGTTACTTTCACGTGAATACTAATATATATATATATATATATATATATATATATATAAATTATTTCTAACAATTATTAAAAATATGATTGATTATTAAAAAGAATCTTTAATCGACAATTATTAATTAAATGTTTTATATTGTATTTTAAAAATATTAAAAAATACGTATGGTAAGTATATTTTTTTTAAGTGTATTAAGTATGGTAAGTGTATTTCTTAAATTTATTTTGATTTTGATTGTATTACTAAAAAAATTGGATAAAAAAAAGATATGCTAATAAATAGAGATTTTGTTAATTTACTATTTTTAGGCAATAATTAATGAAATTGGCGAGAAAATGTTTTTAAAAATGAATTATGTTAATTCTTATTATATTATTAATAGATAATAATAATAATAATAACAATAATAATGATAATAATAATAATAATAATAACAATAATAATAGTAATAATAAGCTTCTAAACTAAGAAGGATAATCATCATAGGTAACGATTGTGACATATACGAGAAAGGAATGAAGAATTTTTTGAGCATACCACTTTTGTCTAAACAATGAATTCTCAACACCCGGAAAAGAAAGACAACAGACACAATGCCTACTAAAAACTGAGGGTAGTGACATATCAAGAGCTATATAAAAAGAAAAAATTAGAAAGCAGCACAAAGTCTGTAACAGCTGCATCAAAATCACATTCCACCGAAACAAACAAATTCAATCAGAGAAAATACGGAACTCCAGTTCTCGGTCCACGCATCTGGTTGTTTTCTTCAGTCTCCGTGAAAAACTTCACCTCTCTCTCCTAATGCCACAAATAAAAAATACATTCAATCAAGTTATTTACGTCAGAAACTAATGCATATATACACAGAGAGGTCAAAACTAAAGCATACCATATTCTCATTGAAGCTTAATATGGATGCCACATTTCCACATCGATAACAATAGTTTGGTGCAGACCATACCTGCATTGTTAAACAAACACAACAACAATTTGGTAATTATAACAAAGTCAAGATAATTAATCTCTGTATGTTGCAGTCCGTAACAAGGATTTTTGCAACTTACAGTAACAAGTCCTTTATCTTGAAACATGTACTTCAGACCTTCTTGAACAAGCTGGTGTGCCCGACAAACTAGATCAAGTTTGTTAATATGGTTGAACTGCAGGAAAAGAAATAAAACCTCATATTAGCTAAAACAAGACAAATGTCATAAAACAAGGAGTAGCTCTATCATCCTAAATAGTAAATTCATGGATTCACCTCAGAGGTAACCCTGGAACCGAAAAGCCAGCCTGCTCCTCGAGGACTAACAGCCCATGTCTCAATCTCTTCAGGATCACTCCACATCAAGTCACAGAAGGGGCCTTCATGGGGGATCTCGCAGTTCCTTTCAATAACTCGAATCTACTCAAAGAAGAAACAAAATAGAAAAAAATTTAAAGCCACATTTATGACTTGATAGAATAAGTAAGTTACGATAAAGCACTACAAATAGCCATGAGTAAATGACAATAAAGGCTCCACATAAAATAAAATGAATATTCCACCCTTGTACTATGGGGTAATCGTTCTAGGATGAGGAATGTAAAAAACTAACAATATACGTATGCCATGGTCAGACTAAGTATATCTGCTTGGAAAAGCATTGCAACCACTACCTTCGGTCTACCATAACATAAAATTAGATCATTATTAGCACTAATAAATATGCAAAAACCAGATATTCACGCAAGAAGACCAAATGATCTAACCTGGTCAATGGTTCTAATATCTGGGGATAGGCCACCATGCACACATAGTACCTGGGATTTCAAAAGGTCAGTATCATTTCAACAAAAGAAGAAATGGAAGTCACAAATCTACTACAAAGTGGGATCTACTGATAAGGATGAGTTATCCCTTTACATTCCAAAGAACTTATAAAACTACAAGACTCAATAGGAAAGAGTCAAGATTGCACTAAAGAGAGAAGGATGCACACCGTGCCATCAATAATTGCTGACAGAGTTAAGTAGTCAAAAACATCGGTGCAATATCGCCAAGCATTCGCGTTCCCGTACTTTCTTTGGCATTCATCATAAAATCCATAAACCTACCAAAGCCATGCAAGTAGAGACTTAACCCTTAGCTGAACAGATTCTAAGAAATCATAGTAATATCTCATCACCATTATAAGTCGTAGTAAGATACCAAGGAGTAATAAAACTCTTAAGATCCAGGAATGTCCCATGAATTTACGGCATTTAATAATAACTAAACCCAAGTGATAAAGTATCATTGCAATAGCTTAAAATCATATTAAAAAAATTAAATTCTCAGTTACATTTTATAACTATCAAATTGTCAAGGCAGTGGCAACCAACATTATCTGGTTTCTCCAAGTGGGCCAAGTTACCAGATTTCAAAACTCTGAGATTTGTCAAATACATCATAATATATTTGAGGATGCTACCAAAAAAATGTAGCGAGAACATCATATTCTGCGATCCATTTCAATATGCAAATACTTCATCATGTATGACCCAACTTTAATGATAGGTGGGGTTCATTGCCAACAACCAGCTCAGGATACACAACAATAACAAGTGCAATAATCATATAGATTACCTGAGTTAATTGCCTGCTTTCATGATTTCCACGTAGGAGAGTGATGTTAGCAGGGTATCTGAAAACATACAGGAACAATGTAAATAACTAGCACCAAGTAAAATTGCTCGGAAATATCAACACCAGAAATTTCATGTACCTTGCTTTGAGAAGCAAAAGGATAGTGAAAACTTCTAAACTATTATAACCGCGATCAACGAAATCTCCCTGCCAGTAGAAAGATATATTGAAGTACACATACAATGGAAAGTGATAAATAGGTGTGAAATCACTTTAAACTATTTACCATAAATATGTAATTTGTTTCTGGGACATGACCGCCAGTCTGAAAAAGTTTCATCAGATCATGAAATTGTCCATGGATATCGCCACAAACTGTGACAGGGCTGTTGACAGGCTGGACATTTGACTCCTCAATTAAAATCTCTTTTACCTGAATAAAGGAGGACACGGATCAAATTTGAAAAAGATGAATAGAGCATGAGTGGAGAGGACACGGCAGAGAAAAAAAAATCAAATCACGAAGTCTAAAGAATGAAAGAAAAACTGCCAAATACCTATCAGAGAGAAAATTGTTGAGGTCCATGCATTTTAAAAATCGCTTGTCTTGACTCAATAACGGTAAATATAGCGCAACTGCTCACAGATAACTAATCTACTCGAAGGCAAATAAGCAAGAAGCTCAACTAACAAATGGAATGTATGGGTAAAATATGACATACAAAACTCAATTTACAAATCCCAAAATACAAATTGGCCTCAGGTACGAGCATAAGCACCCCCGTGCTGATAGCAAAAGAGCACATGCTATATTTCAAGGGAATTGCAGAAGCTAAGCAGAAGGCATTAAGAGTAAGGGAACCAAGGTGCAAATTCCAAAGACGAAAGGATTTGCAGAAAATCCACCATAACCAAGCCTTAAGAAGCTGGAATAGTTTATCCACATTCCATAATTGAAAGAAATTACAGAAAATCCACCACAACCAAGCCTTGAGAAGCTGAAACAGTTGATCCTGAACCTCCCCTCAAAGACCATAAAATACATATATCTCTATCATTTAGACATGTATGCGAATTTCTGGAGCAACTATCTCCAGTTCTCAATAAGAATGTTTGTATGATGTGGGAAGTAAGATCAGCAGAAGTCTTCTACCCCACTTACCTAACAACCAGCAGTTCACTACTTT